TAAATTCTTACAACAAAAAATTAATTCACAAAAGTTGAAAATAAAGTTGAATAATAAATAATATGGATATATATGAATCTTATTTAATAAACACAACAGGTATTCACAACACATGTATCCGTTATTGATGCATTATTTGCAGTCTTCCCTTCTGAACGCTTTTATTTGTTTCTTGGCAAAACTTTTCAATTATGCATTTGCAAGCGACTCGGATTAATACCATAAGAAAATGTTTTAACAACAGTAATCTGTGGTCATAATATGAATGTTCTGAATTGTTCCAATATGGATCATAAAGAATACAAAAATTTATTATCAACAGTAAGATTCCGTTCTTATAACAGTTGGTATCAAATTGTTTGTCAAAAGTTTTTAGGTGCTTCTTACACAATTAGTAGAAAAATTTAAAGGAACAAAAAGCGAGCAAGAATTACCATAACTTCCATCATTTCTGAAGTATAGAAGCCTATCAGAAAGCGCATTAATTACATTATCCGATTTGATACAATTTTTTTTGCAATATGCGCTATTTTTTAGCGTAGTTTTTCTAAAAAACTTGTGCAAAATATTAATTGCATTATCAGAAAGTACAGACAACAAACTATCTTCGGAATTCATTTCTATAATTGAATTTATTTCTCCCAAACCATTTTCGTTATCTGCTTCATCCTCAATCTCTTCTTCATTAAAAGTTCCAGCATTCGCTTCCATCGAATTTTTATGGCCCACAGATATTGTAGTCCAATCAATGGCAAGCATTTCATCATCATCTTCACAATTAGAGTATATGAAACAGATATTTGAATGCGGTTATTTTTGTTTTTAAAATATACTAACTTTTATTTCGAAAGTTTTTTTTTGTGTATCTCTACACGTGTTTCGGCAAATTCGGGATTATTTTTAGAAATACCGAGTTTTCTATAAAGGGCTTGGTTTGTTAGGCTTCGATCACAAACTTATCCTCTCACATTTAGTCCAGCAGCAACCTTCAATATTTTTATATATCATTATTTTCAATGTATTAACGGGAATATATTTTTTAGATACAGAAGAGTTCAAACTTGTTTCCAATGACCACATAGACTTCTTATCATAAATACGCAAATATTTTTTCTAATTGTAACGCTCCTGAAATTTTTTCCATAACGAACAAATCCATCAATTTTGTCGAACTTAGCATTATATTTTAAATCTCTATTAACACTACTTGTCGAAATTTGGAGTCAAAATTACCTGCATTTATACTTTCTTTTATATTTATAAATACTTCTTCACTTACTCCCGGAGGTAAACCAGCAATTGGAAGCCATTCGTAAATGGATCTTGAAGAAGGCAAAGCAAATCTTAACATATCTCTCATAAAATTATAGGTAGCAGTAGATTTGAAAAAAATTATTTGCGCCACGTATTTTTCAACCTCACTGTTTCACAAAATTTTTTTGCATAAGCTGAAGCGTGTGATATAAAATCTATAATTTGAGAGACGTATTGAATTAGTTGAGGAAAATTTAATTTTTGTCCTATAATTCCTATAATAATTTAAATTTTTCTCACCTTTATAACAAGAGCTACAAACGGGCTTAATTGCTGCACTAACACATAACGGTTCGTTGTCGCACTGATATAGTACTTCGTCCGTTATGGAATTGTGGATTTCATCCAGTTGCAAGGAGGGAATAACATGATAAAAAAGTTTTTTTTTTCAATTACTTCTTTTTCAAAATGTAGTTCACATATTAATGGTTTTTTTAGAGACATAAAATGATCGTATGACCAATGTCATGCACTTATCCACTGTTCATCCTTTTTGTGCCTTGTTTTGGAAAATTAAAAAACTTCAGGCCTTTCTGTGTTCTATTTCTGCAAGAAGCTATGCAGCAAATACGCTTATAAGGTGACATTTCTAACAATAAGTTTATATTTTGAAATAACACAAATCAAAAAATTTTAAAAATTAAAACTTAAAAAAAACTTCTGCTTAAGTATTAATTAAAATCTAAAATTGGACCGCACACGATATTACTCCGAGAAATAAATGCAAAATTAGTTCTATTAAAACCTCTGCAAGTAACAATTTCACAATTTCTTATCCTTCTACCAAAAACAAAACGCAAATATATATGTATCTACATATGTATACACATAGCAGAAAAAGTGTACGGACACCCACAAAATTTTTCTTAAATTTCACGTAACTTATTTAATTTTTATTCAAATTGATATTTGTTTTCTGATTTATTTTTACCAAAGAAACAACAATAACGATTTAATATAAAAAATTAAAAGTTATTCTTTTAAAATAAATTATACGCAATTATGTGCACAAGCATCAATTTTTAAAGCAGAAAAAGTCTACGGACACTTCTTAATATTTACACTAAAACAATTAAAATTCGCAGTAATCTTAAATTTATTAGCCTGTGAGATAACCTAAGCTGGACTCAACCAACTTTGCAGTATCCTGTGCCTTTATTTTCAACCATTCTTCCTTGATGACTTTTCTTAACATATCCTTGCTGGAAATCGTGTGCTGACGAGTCTTATTTTTGAAATAAACCCACAGATGTTCAATGGGACTAAGGTCTGGTAATTTTGATAGTGTTTGAAGTTGCCTCGGAGCATGGTTCAGCAGCCAATCCCGTATAAGCCCTAAAATCCTGTCATTTTCTTTCAAATTTGTTTTTAGCATATTTAGATATTCATATTTATCCATTGTATCTTGTATAAATTCAGGTTTGGCACCATCATTACTTGCTATACATCCTCAAACCATTACGCCTCCAGGATCATGTTTCACCGTTGAAACCAATTTTTGTTTGTCATCTTTTGCAATATAATTTCTGATATCACTTAAAAAAAATCTAGCAATCGTTTTACAGTAGAAAATTAGAAATTCAGTCTAGAACTTGTGAGAAGTCAGTTTAGTTTTTACATTTGTACGGTGTGTTACAGTTTAGTTTGGAAATGAACTAAGTGATAGAATACTTAAAGACTTAACCAGAATAATTAAATAGAATACTTAAATTAAATATTAAAATATCAAACTTTGATTTCAAATATGTAAATTAATACTCATCTGAGGTAATAATTCATTTTCAGAACTCCATACCTTCATTTACATGCTTTCTTGCAAAGCTTAATCATTTTATTTAATACATCTGAATATGTATGGCTTCTTTCTTGCAACTAAGGTATACTATACGCTTTTCTTCCAAATTTTGCGCACAGTATTAGGACATACTTTGTTTTCAAGTATTTCGGCAATATGTTCAGCCAGTTTAGAGGCTCTTACTCTTGGATTTACTATCTCCTAGTGCGACTAGTGCGAGGTTTAGATATGTAATTACCCGTCTCCTGGAAGTTATTTATAATTCTCTGTACAAATGAATATTGTTGACCAATATCCTTAGCAATTTTTCGTTGGCTTACATCATCTTCTTAGCACTAATTTCACATTTTTTATTTTCCGTTGTAAAAGTTTACTGCTTATATAAAAAATAATTTTTAAATGATTAATAATTAGACTCTTTAGGAAGTCAACTGTTAAATAAATATCATTTAATGACACGTTTATGTTTGCAAACGAATTTAAATCAACGGTAAATGTGAATATTAGGAAGTGCCCGTAGACTTTTTCTGCTCTAAAAGTTAAAGCTCGTGCACATAATTGTGTATCATTTTTTTTAAAAGAATAACTTAATTTTTTATATTAAAACTTTATTGTTGTTTCTTTAGTGAATATAAATCAGAAAACGAAAATCAATTTGAATAAAAATTAAGTAGTTACGTGAAATTTAAGAAAAACTTTATGGTTGTCCGTACACTTTTTCTGCAATGGGTATATATCATTATCATTGCATATCATTATCACATAAGGTAATTTGTTTTTGCATAAAGTACCAAATCATTATCAACATACGTTTGTAACAGAATGTTGCTAAAAAAATCAATTTAAGCAATTTAACAAAACAGCTTTGGTCTTTTCAACATGTATCAAAAGCTTTACCAATATTTTGGTTGCTGAACAAAAGTTCAATTATAGAACTTGAAAAAATGAGTATATTTTTGCTTTAGGCGATTTCATATCTACTTATACATTGTCTTTGCACATAGTATACAGAGATCACAAATGCTGCTCATGAATACTCTGAATGCTGCTGGTGCGCTTGATTAGGATTTCAAATACTTACAACAATTAGTAAATATTAACTTTATTTTCAATGTTTCAATGTGACAGATCTTTAAGTTTCAGGCATAACAATATTTTTTCTCCTACATTATCTAAATTTATGTTTACTCGTTTTGTATAGGAAGCAATGCAAAATATTGTTTCAAATATGCATGACTCTACTCCACTTTTTTGCTGCTTACAAAGCCATCCGCAAAAATCAGCAGCCAAACTTTTTTTCTTAAATAAAGAAACTTTCACCTTTATAATGCAGTTAATATCATAGTGGAATATTGCAGAATTCTCTTACTTTTAACCTATAATGCATTCGCTTAAATCAAAAAAATTCATTCAAATAGCAACTTTTAGATTAAAGCCTAAACAGCACTAAAACACAGAAATTTAAATTTCTTGAGCAGATCTCTAATTACTTGTTTTAAACGATGTCATAATTTATATCTTTCTAGAATGTTGTTACTATTAATAATATCACTTTTTATTAGCTACTAGCGTAAGTTGCAACTCAAACAAAAATTTTCCGTTCAAAATGCTCCACTTCAAATTACCTTTGCATGCGAATGGCAGCACAGAGAAAAATAAAAAAAACTGTAATCTTGTAGTGAATTCTATTTTGTGAAGTCCCCAATTAAAAATTTTTTTGAAAAATTAATTTTAAAAATTGGATTTTTGACCGCCTAAATTGACCAAATACCCCTATGTGCGTTGGGCGGATATGGGTTAAATCATATATTGTTACAAAGAAAATAAATTTGCATGGAAAACGCAAAAATTTAAGTATTTAATGTATAATGTTTGTGATATTGTTCACAATATGAAAGTGGCAAATTCTGCATATACAAAAAAACAAAAAATTACAAATTATTCAAAATCAAAAAATCTTCTATGATAACTAGAAACCAAAGGAAGTGCTGGACTTTGCTAAGTACGGGCAGTAAATATTATTAAATAAAGAATAAAATTTTACTGAGTTGCTATTTTAGATAAGAATGAAATCCGTATGTCGGTTCTGGGAAGACAACAGAGGGCTTTAAAACAAGTTTGAACACTAAATAACCATAATCCAAATAGAAAAGAAATAAAGCGATGTTTAGTTCAAATTTTCAGTAAGTTTTATTTTAACTAATAGCTAATAATAACACTAATAATTTATAAATTAAAACTAAAAACAACAAAAAATATATACTTATATATTTTTCATATAATTAGATTTTATATAATTATAAAATTTATTAAAAATAAAAATAAAAAAATATAGTCAGTTATCATTGATTTTTCTTTTCTTTGTAGGTGTGTTTTTTTGACTTCAAAGATATTGACGATAATATTGACGACGCTGGCAGTAACGGCGAGGATGGCTATCAGAAATTAATACGAAGGTGTTGTCAAAAATTCTATACACGTTATTAACAGACTTCCACGATGAAGGGGCCTCCGTTGAAAACCACAATACATTGCTGATTCTTTCTGTTTTAAAATAATTGGCTAGGTCGTTAAAAATATCCAACAATGATAAAGATTATACCATCCGGCATTACATGTATTGAAAAAATCATGTGTGACGTAAAATGGTGCACATATTTATTGATCGAATATATTAGTTTACAATTTAGACTGCACACTTTATAGTGCCAATTTCTTGTTTATATATTGTCACTTTAAAACGGTATTCATAATAATAATAATATTTATCAAAGTTTGCAATACTTAAAATATTAGATATATTTTACAATTACACTTCCACACTTTTAGTATGAAAATTGTAATACAAAATTTTGGAAAATAATTCACAAATATATGAATTAAATTTTATTTAAATAATATTCAATATTGCAGATCTCGTTCAAAATTAAATTTTGTATTACATTTTGAAACAAAATAAATATTTATTTGCATATAAAGTTAAATAAAATAATAAATAAAATTTATACATATATCGAATCGATTAATTATCTGATTAAATTATTATTTATATTTATTAATTAAATCTGATTAATTATTATTATTGTAATTATGTGTTAAAGTTATAACTCTTTCAAGTACCTACTACATGTCAAAATGGGTAACATATACGTTATGAATTTAGTTGATTTGGGCTACTGGGGACTTTATCGCACATGCATACTACACACATACTATATGATATTAATTTAAACCAATGAATTTTTTTAAATAACGCAATCAAAGAATGGTTTGATTCAAACAAATTTTCCTTTGATTTTTATGCCTAAAATCATTTCTTGCAACTTAAATTCATGTTTGAGTTAGATACACCGAACTTTGTAGCTGACAAGTACTTATGCTTAAACTTTTATGAACAAGATTCGATCTCTCTATGAATTTATGTTCCTGCTCAATGTATAACGATAAAAAGCTTTTAGCAAAATTGATTATGATTACTCATTTAGTTGTTAAAAACTCTCGGAGTGTTCGGTTGTAGTAAAAAGTGCGGGTGGTATAGTAGATAAAGAAAAGTAAAAAAATATAATATTTGCGTTGGTTTGTTACATTTAGTTTGTTTGCATATAAATAATAATGCATTTATACAAAAATATTGAATGATTGCTTACGAATTTTACGTTCAATTTAAAATATAAGCAATACAAATGTTTTAAATATAGAAATGACAACATATGAAATAAATGAACTGTTTCTCTATATCGCATAATTTTTTAATTATGTATGGATGTATATGTACATGCGTTTGTCAGCATTTGATCATGTTCAGCCATGGGCGATTGTCCAAGTATTGGTGCTTTTGATGACTCATTACCCATATAAAATTCTGTTTTTGATTTGTTTGCGATGCATATAGAGAGGAAGAAATAGAAATAAAAATAAATAAGACCCACGTTAATATTTCTTAAATGAATATAAATACATATGTATACTTTTGAACAAAAATAATTTCCATTTTCATATAAAATTCTCCCAACTATACACACATATTCTAATAACTTTTTATTAATTTTCATGTTTTTCGTCAACATATTAATGCAACAAAAAACCACAGCTTGGCATATGTTTTTTACGAAATGTATGTTAAGAAGACCTTGTAGATTAAGTGTTAACATTAAGTTTTGTACAATAAAATTAATACATGAACCTTAACATCTGTTCAACACCCAACGTGTATAGATATGTATATGGTGTAGTAAAGGGTGCAACTAATGGCGTTTGAATAAAATGCCTTTAAAAAGTCGAATCGATCGCAATATGTTCGACAATCTATTTAATGCTTGAACCCAAATTAGTTACTTAGTTTTTAGACAGTGTTTCTGGTAAAATCTGGAGCTGAACGTTTTATGTATCCGTAAGTGTCTGTTATTTCTAAGTGTTTTGTAACTAGATTTATTTATTTAGATGAATATTTCTAAAGCATTTTTCAAACTTAAATTTTATATCAAATCAATGCCCTTTAATATTAAAAAGCATTCTTCTGGCAAGAATGGATCTAGCACATAAAATTTATATACAGAAAAATAAAGTCATAAAAAAGAAAATTTGGAATTCCAAAGATTAATTGCGTTTAGTCCTACAACACATGTCATACACACGTATTCCATAAATTGCAAAACACGTTACTTTAAATAAAGAGAATATGAAAGCATTTCTTCTATATACAATGTATAAATAAACCAAAATGGAAAACATGTGAAAAGGTAGGAAGAGCGAGGTAGAGATAATATTCATTGGTTTAGTTATCTCTGAGCAAGAATAAGATTGATTAAATTGATGTTGGGTACACAACCTCTTTAGATTATTTTTCTCCTTTGGAAAATAACTTAAGCAGTTAACAAAAACACTGCTTTTAAATTCCAAAATAAAAATGCATACGTACATATTTTTATATTTTCTTTAAATCATACTAATTTATTAAAGTGTAGCGAATGAAGTGTGTAATTTTAAACATACTTTATTTAACAAATTTAATGCACTTAAGCATATTTGTATACTTTAAAATGTTTTTGTAAAGTAGGATTAGTAGTATTTATTTTTAGTATTTTTAATTTTTTTTAGTTTAAAAACAAAAATATAAAAACACTAATCTCACTTATGTACATACACATAGTAGAAAAAGTCTACGGATATTCACAAAATTTTTCTAAAATTACGCATAACTTTTTTAATTTTTACTCAAATTCATTTTTATTTTTTGATTTATTTTAACCAAAGAAACAACAATAAAGTTGCATAATTAAAAGTACACAGTTATTCTTTAAAAAAAAATTAAACACAATTATATGCAGAAGTAGCAATTTTTGAAGCAGAAAAAATCTACGGATATTTCTTAAAATTCACATTAAAACAATAAAATTCACAAAAATCTTAAATTTAATAGCCTGTGGGATAACCCTAGCATTTAATAACCTCTGTTAAGCGTCTTTGCATGGACTCAACTAGCTTTCCAGTATTCTGTGCGTTTATTTCTAGCCATTCTTCCTTGATGACGTTTCTTACTATATCCTTGCTGGAAAACATATGCTGACGAATCTTATTTTCCAAATAAACCCACAGATGTTCTATAGGGCTAAGGTCTGGTGATTCTGGTAGTGTTTGAAGTTGCCTGAGAGCATAGTACAGCATCCAAATCTGTACGATGATTCAAGTCTGATAGCACCATTACTTGCTATACACCCCTAAATCATTACACCTTCACCATCACGTTTTACTGTTGAAATTGAGTTTTGTTTATCATAGGCTGTGCATAATTTTCTCCTTACAAGTTTTCTAACTTTTATTTAAAATATGTAAAATTAACTCTCATCGGAGAAAATAACTCATTTTCTGAACTTTATAGGTTTATTTATATGCTTTCTTGCAAAGCTTCATTATTTTATTCTATTTATCTGGATATGTACGGCTTCTTTCCTGCAATCAGGGTATAATACATGCATTTCTTCAAAATTTTCCGCACGGTATCAGGACATATTTTGTTTTCAAGTATTTCGGCAATATGTTCAGCTAGTTTGAAGGCTGTTACTCTTGGATTTACTTTCACCTGGTTGATTGTGCTACGTCTTTCTCTATTTGACAGAGTTATGGGGCGGCCAGTGCGAATTTTAGAAACGTAAGTACTCGTCTCTTTGAAGTTATTTATAATTCTCTACACAGATGAATATTGACGACCAATATCTTCAGCAATTTTTCTTTGGCTTACGTCATCTTTCTAAAATTTAACAGCTATTTGTCGCTCACAAGCTAATTTCACGTCTTTTATTTTATATTGTAAAAATTTATTGCTTATATAAAAAAATATTATTAAATGATTAATTTTTAGACTCTTTAGGAATTCAACTAATAATTAAATATCATTTAATGACACTTTTATGCTTGCAAGCGAATTTAAATTAGCGGTAAATGTTAATATTAAGAAATATCCGTAGACTTTTTCTGCTTCAAAAATTACTACTTTTGCATATAATTGTGTTTAACTTTTTTTAAAGAGTAACTGTTAACTTTTTATATTGGAGCTTTATTGTTGTTTCTTTGGTTAAAACAAATTAGGAAATAAAAATGAATTTGAGTAAAAACTAAAAAAGTTATGCGTAATATAAGAAAAATTTTGTGAATATCCGTAGACTTTTTCTACTATATGTATGTATATAGAATTTGCGAAATCCTTATATATATTAAATTATTATTAATTGTTGAACTAAAGCATGTCCTATAGCTTGTTTCCACTGCTTACTCAAGTAAGCTACTTAAGTAACTTTAAGATTTATCGTTTACATTGGCACAAGTTACTTGATGTATGTGAAAGAGCTTTTATGTGTCAAAAAGTTTTAGTTGTAGAACTTTTCTTTGTTAACATTTCAATTGTAAGCAGATGACATTAAATTTTGTTGTGTTAGAAGGAAATAATTCAGTATGGAAAACCCAGAAAATTTAAATTATTTAATATATTATGTTTGTTATATTGTTTATAGTATATAGTATATTCAGTTTTCAGTAACTTTTATTTTAACTTATGATAATATCAGGCATTTGTTTTTGTAAGCATGGTACAAGAGAAGAAATAAAATAAGCACTACTTTCGATGGCGATTTTATTAGGTTTTTATGTGCAATTTACGTAATAAAAATTAAATCTGAAATTTCGAAAATGAATAAAAATTCTTTGCAGTTATTGGTGAGAATATTTTTTTTACACGATTCTAAATAAAATATCATTTTTCATGCCTTTTAACAGTTAAATAATAAATAAAAAAATAACATATTTGTTACGAACAATGACGTAACCATATTACAAAAGGACGACTGTTCATTTTAAAAATAACATATCAAACAACAACACTGCTGGCTTATTCAATCCAACCTTTTTGAAATCGCTTAACTAATAAGCAGTTCAAATCACATGGTTATCAACACTAAAAATTCGTCTATTGTGAGCGATTTTTGGAAGTACATAGGAAATTTCCAGTTATCTGTCAACGAATGATTTCGTTAATTATTTGTATTTCGTGTCGTCATTATTTTACTGTTAAAACGCACGAAAATTACATTTTATTCATAATCATGGAAAAAAAATATTCTCATTGCAAAGAATTATTATTCATTTTCAAAATTTTAACTTTAAATTTTATTACTTGTTTTGTACAAATAAGCCATCGAAAGTAGTGCTTATTTTATTTGT